AAGTGGTTTAAACTTTAGAAACGGTTTACAAAGCATTCACATTTCACCCAGACGGGAATTTCCGACTTGCGGACAACTACAGTACCAGCCACGGCATTTTCAAACATCCGACTTGATCTACGTAAAAGGAACTTATCTCGGCCGTTCTATTTGCCTACATAAATATTCAGAATTTTTACTAAGAGATTTATAAATTTGACCAGGGTTTAAGCAGTACCATAAAACAAGTGCGTGTACAGACAAACTTTTATTTTTGTCCAAGGATTTAAATTTTTTTTATTATGGGTTATTTGGCCACGAGAAATCGAGTTGGCCATAAGCCAGGGAAAAATCCAGTTTCCACCCTACAGCCCTTGAAAGTGCTCATCTTATCGTTAGTACATTTTTGTAGCTGCAGTTAATAAAACAACTGATACAGGAAGTTTTTTATTGTAATCTACGTATTTATAAAGGTGTGTTAAAATGTTTTCTTTGAATTATCAGAGATTTGTTCACATTGATTACCGTACAAACATCTTTAATTTAGCTAAATAACTTATCTAATAAAGATATTGTATAATTCAATCCGAGCAAAACTCGGTCTCCTGGTAGTTGTTGTTAAAACGACTGTAAAAACACGTAGTGAGCCTGATAACTATATTATTGATTAAACACAGGAGTTTGACTGTCGCAGAGCAACGAGACAATACAATATTGATATTTCCAGAGGACGTTGGAAAGTAAACTGAGAGCTGAGGACGCATAGCGCAGACTGCACTGACTGCAGAGGACGCTATAGCTGTGTAGGAACAGAGGACGATATAGCGGGAGAGGGAGATTATAATGTTGATGAACACTGAGACAGGGGTGGTCCCCTCCACCTCGTCATCACTTCTCTACTCTACCCCCCCACTTAGATAAATAAACCTGACAGAAACATAAGTTTGGTTATCTAAACAGTAATAGAGTAAATAAAATTACTGTAGATCTCACACCTAATTAGGTTTCTATTTTATTATGAAACTCATGTATACTTTTCAAGATATCATTCTCAATAACCAAATTGCACAAAAAAAGTAAAAGGCTTATATATTACTATATCTATTTTATTTATTTAGTATTATATATCATTGTAAAATGTCTGACTGTTGATACGCACAAACCTGAGAGGATCAAACTGAAAAGTGTGATCATGTTATGTCACCTCTAAAACATCGTAATCGGGTCTAACAATAGAATAGTGTGTTTCTTTAAAATTTACCTCTCCATGAAAACTTATATTTTGTATAAAAAAAATTAGATCACACAGTAGTAAAAACTGTGTTATTTTATCATGCAACCATTGTGTGATTCTCAATAACAAGTCATTCTCTATTTAAAGACCACCTCAGTTGTCAGACAGTAAAAGAGGAACAATAACATAAATCCCCAATCAATTTATTGCTATCCATTAATCGACCAATCTATGTCACTATGTCATCGTAAAAATTTTGTGTTTGTCTGTTTATCACCAACCTATGGGCAAATTAGTACTCTGCCATTTACATTTCACACAAAGGTACTCTGCTCAGGTTGAGTTGGCTACGTCCAAATTCACCAACATTTTTGGGGTCGTTTCTAATGTCCAAATTCACCAACTTTCTACCTGGAGCAGGTACGATATTTCTCCCGGCGGGCGGGGAAGGAATTCCGAGTAGTTTGCCCTCGCCTGCTCCGTCTCGTCTCGGCGAGAGTGTACTGCTTAGCCCTAATAGTACTGTTTAAGCTGTGATTGTTTCAGGCAGCTTTAGGTTAGGTTAGGTTTGGTTAGGTTTGGTTAGGTTAGGTTAAGTTAGGTTAGGGTTACAGTAAACTCTCTCCGAGACGAGACGGAGCAGGCGATGGCCAACTATTCGGAGGGAATTCCTTCCCCGCCCGCCGGGAGAAATATCGTACCTGCTAAAGGTAGAAAGTTGGTGAATTTGGACATTAGAAACGACCCCAAAAATGTTGGTGAATTTGGACCTGGCCGGTTAAGTTGAGGAGGAAGGGGTAGAAAAATAGAACATGACAATGGCTCTAAATGGATGTACTGTAAGCCTATTTATAAGTTTGGAGAAATCCCATTGTCACACCTCGCTGTATGCAACTTGAGTGAACAATGACCTAGGGCTTTCCCAGTGGGCTTTCAAATTTCGGGGTTGGGGTGTTTAAAAGTTAATATTAATTAATCACCTCTGCAACAAAAATTATAGGTAGCATAAACCCAACTTTTACATTTTTTCGTTAACATTAAATTTATATAGGTAGAAGTGTCAAATACACTATCATACAGATGATAAAAAAATCAAATATGATTATGTAAAAACTAAGTGGTACATCATCAGTTCTGTCCTCTGTAGAAATCCCTCGTCTGTAAATCTGAAAGCTTGTCCTGTATCAACTACGTCCTCCATAAACAGCAGGGACGCTCCATTATTTTAGGGATGGTAGGAGTTATGAAGCTAGAACGCAGTACAGCAACCAGACGACTGCAGAGCGATATTGATCGAGAGACGAGAACGAGGAGAGAAGAGAAAATTACTTGGGGTTGGGGCAAATGTGGCAACACTGCTCAGATAGTCAATATGACAGGACAGACAGTGGAGTGGCAACACCGCTACGGCGCTACAGTATACGACTGCGCTTGCGCAGTTAGTTAATGTGTATGTATACCATGATCAGTAATGATTTCCTGCCATATCTCCATCTCCTCCACTACAGTACCACTACCAAGTTACAAGTTACTGAATATCTATCTCCTGCTACGTCCAAATGATTACGAGTTATACTTGACAGTTTATTTCGCACATAACTTAACACAATATAATATGATAAGAAGCTTTAAAGCGATAGTAAAAATGTTATAAGATTCGTCTCTTCTTACCTTTTCAATGGAGGAAAGAAATTAATATAGGAGTATTTCCTTTAATATGCCTTTGAAAAAATATTCTTCCGGTTTGCTGAATATATACACATACCGGCATTATTTTCATCCAACAATGGAGCAAATGTTTTAAACCAATTATCTAACCTATTTTAAAGCAATTAAATAATTTATGATTATTATCTTAATTAGCCATGTATTTCAGACTCCATCTTTACAATTTTAAAATAATCAGCATAGGCCTGATCACTACCTAGTCCTAATGAAATAATTATTAAATTTTGATAAATTCTAAAATTCTCATTTTGTTTTCAAAAGCATTATTGCAGCCTGTAGTATAATCAAATTAATTTCCTTCATCTGCAAACTATTTCATTACTAGGTGGTGCAGATTGTGTTGTGTCATAACAATTAGTATTTAATTTTAAATAAAATTATCGAGCCAAAAGTATAATTTTCAACAAAGACATGATAAAGGTGGGAGTTGTGGTTCTCAGACTGCTGACCCCCATAGAACGCCATCATCAGCACTCAGCAATCTGAGCAGCAATGACAACAGTCAGGTAGTGGAAGTGGACGCGGAGTGGAGTTGTGTACTTGTAAGCATCGATATATTTGTAAGTGCCTCTATAATATGTTTCCAATCTTTAAAAAGTTAAATTTTTAGTTAAATAGTTTCTGTAAATAGGCTACGAAATCTAGGGTTTTAACTAATACATATATTTAATTATTTTCGCAGTTCTGTAAAATGAAATTCTAGTAACTCAAGTTGTGCATTTGAATCATAAAATTAATACGGTACAACTGTACTTTATATATTGTGTTTCCCGGGGTGCCGTCCCGGGCGGTGGCAGCGGCTTTCTGATAGGCGTTGTTAACTTTACCCTTTGAATTTCTAACCATAGATGAAGTAATATAATTAAATAATATAATAATATAAATTATATTATTATATTACTATGATATAACCAACTTACCGCTTGACGTTTTAATAAACATTAATTCAGTACGGTAGACTTGTTCAGACAAAGGAGACCCGATGGAAATGGAAAAGCTGGTGTAGTTGGTTTGAACCGCATCAATTAATGCCATATAAATGGTTATTTCTCATTTTCCATATTATAAACATTTTATTTGTTATCTTATTCAAATATAGGGTTGAAACCAAATATTGATAAAACAATAGATATCAGACATTGTCGCCTATGCTTGGATCCCGAAATAACCAGGGCTCACTGGTAAGTTTGCCCTGAATTGAGGGAGGAATTTACTTTACACACTCGAGTCAATGTTGTTCGTGCGTTTTACTGTTTTTTTTTTTTTTGTAATTGATGGACGAATTACGAATTCAATTAATTACTGTAATGAAATAGAGATTTAGTATAATGAAAGAGAGTTATTTTCAGAAAGATTTTTGAAAAATCGTCATCTGATTAATTCTGTGTTGAGTATAGACTACATAAATTAATTGTTAAAGATAATATTCTATTTTATGTTGGATATTAATTTTTATACCCAAAGTCAATTCTTTTAATATTTAATAATATTTTAGTCTCCTAAAATATTAGACTATTACTTCGAAATTGTAATAATAAAACTAAAATAACCTTTTTTGATAAGACGTTTAGAAAATTCAGAATTACCTCAAGATGGTCTGGTTGTAACTCTCAAGCAACAGAGAAGATTGCTGAGTTTATATCGTTGCTCTCGAGTCGGTTGTTTTGTTTGTTGAGTTGTTGCAGTTGTAACTCCAATACTATCAACCGAGCAAGGCGGCGTCTATCAATCAAACCATCCACCACCCGCCACTGCGTTGCCGCCTCCATTCCATTATTCTCCATCTCCATTCCATGTTCCTCCATTCTACGTCCTTTGCCCCCCCCCCCCAACACAAGTACAATATTCTCCTAAACCTAATCAACACAACACAAATAGTGGAGGGGGGTTATATTTCCCCTCTTCTTCTGGTCCCCTAACCTGTTCGGCTATTATCGTCTTTCTTATTCGTCTTCCCTTCCTTGGTCCTTCGTAGCACTGATCTGTAAGGCTCAATTTTGTATGGACGAGCATGCGATTTAGAGTCTTATTGAATTTTACCCAAACTTCCAACTCCAACTCCAAGCAAGCTGCAGTGGCGAGGAGAAGAGAAGAGGAAGAGGAGGAGATTGGGAATTGGGACTGGGAGATTCGGTGGATTCGTGGATTTCGGTCGGGTCGAGCGAGCCAACCTAAAAGAAAAGAAACTAAAGAAAGGCCTAAAGCCAAGCTAACTAACTTGTTGGGTTGGGAGTTCACGAAACACGAAACGAACTGTTTGTGTTAGTGTTTGTTGTGTAAGAGTTACAAGTGTTTAAAAAATCACTGAGATAATAATGCAGGTAACTTATTCAATAAATTTGTGAATACTATAAAACGTATCTTTTTTTGGTGCTGGCTTCTGAAGTAGGGTAAGGGTAAGGCCTTCTTCGTGGTGTTTGTAAACGCCTCAATACACCATAAGTTACTGTATTTGCAATTAAGAATCGAGGACATAAGTTACCATCCGGTTGTAACAAGACTGTTTATAGGCAACAATTGTACATACTCACAATTACTCATTTCCGTTTGTTTTTAAACAATCCTTATTTTTGTCCTAGACATTGAATGTTTGGAGAAGTTAAGTTTTAAGTAGGCCTAAGTTAATAAACCCAAAACGAGACGATCTATTACTAACCAAGGCCTTGGATTGACAAAAACTGGGATAAGCCTAATTGGTCACCCTATTAAGTATAGAGGAGAAATTGTAACATTGAATTTGCAATGTTTCAAAATTTAGAAAATGTAGGCCTAGGCCAAAACAACAGTGTTACCGAACAAAACTAGGCTACACCTAAGTTTAGGCCTAGGCCTAAACAACAGTTACGGAACAAAACTAGGCTACGCCTAAGTTTAAGTTAAAGTTAGGCCTACAATTGTTGAACAATTAGAAATAGGCCTACATTGGATTAGCTTCTATCAAAACAACCCTGGGGTAACTTACAGTTTCTTAACTGGGTTATGCTAATGATTGAAGTGATCGATTGACCAGTAAAAAAACCTTCATCCAATTTTTTATTATCAGCAAGTTTGGTTAGTTAGTTTAGGTTATGACAGTTTAATTTTATAATCGATAGGCCTATTATAGTTAAAAATATTGATTATTAATCTATATCAGCATCTAGCCCAGTTAAGAAACTGTTCCCCAACCCTGTTCGTGGTGGTGTGGGTTTCTTCCCACCATAATTATAGGATTGATTCGCAACTAAGTAAGTTAGGGCCTACTCGATCGGTTCTCTTGCTGGATGTTAGGCTACTGTAAAAAAGGTTTACTTAACTTACTTACAGTGTTTTTTTTTTTTTAATTAGGCCTAACTTAAGTTAACTTAGGTCGTTTTTTTTCTCGTATCTTGTTGACGTTTAGACCTTGTGGCACTTTTGAAACTTAAATTTACTTTATTAGCTTGAATAAGTTATCCCATATATGTGAACTTAGGGATAAGCTAGGCATACCTATTATTATCTTACCACTGTTCGTAACTTAGGTCTCATGTAAGACCTGGACCTGGGTTCGATTTACCTTTTTGTTTTGACGTCTTCAGAAGCCAAAAACACTTAAGTTATCCGTTTGAATTCATATAAGTTACCCTAGGCCTAGGACATATTTAATTTAAGAGCCTATGTAAGTTTATACACAAGTTAACTTATGTGTGAGGCTACCTCCAAGCAGTGACGAAAATCAACCCAACACGGGTGTAAAAAGAAATTGGGCATAACAAGGCATGGCTCAGTTCCTGGATAGAGGCGCGAGAGGTATAGTTCAGGGCAGGCTGCCGTAGACACAGTTTCCATTTTTTAAATCAAAATATCTGCAAATGCAGAAATAAACAAGTAACTTACCGGTATCCTCTGCTAAATTATGCACCCGATGTAATGTCACTCCACTACTTTACTATAAAAAATAGCCAAAATTAAGCACAAAGATTGTCCATATATCTAGGAATGTCTTAGACCTAAGTTACACTTGCCTCAGTTAACTGCTTGTATGTCCAAAGTTTTCAGGTGAGGTTTTCAAAAGTAAATATTAATAATTGTCTCCATGGAAGTGTGAGAAAACTCACAATGTTTACCTTTGCTTTGACATTTCAATGTAAACAATCAGAACTGCCAAATGTTTAAACTTATTTCTCAACTAGCTGTACCCGCGGGCTTCGCCCCGTTTAACTTCATAAGTATTCGCATGGCTCATTCACGTCCTGGTTGAAGTTCGTTCGCTACGCTCACTCACCTTTAGGTTGGAGGTCGTTCGCTGCGCTCACTTGCCTTCAGGTTAGCTCGTTCGCTACGCTAACTCGCCTCCAGGTTGAAGTTCGTTCGCTACGCTCACTCACCTTTTGGTTGGAAATTAGCTGTTGTCATAAATAAAAAAAAATTAATAGTGCTGCACCCTGTTGGTAATCCTTGTAACTTTTATGCTATTGCACATCATAGAACAGAACCAACTTGTTTAATTGAAACAGCTGTTAAGATTCATTAATTCCTTTTAAATATGAAAAATCATAATATTAACATGGGGAACTACAGAGCCACTGGGGCGGAGCCCGAAAGGGTTTTTGAGATAAGAATATGATTTAATGTTAATCGGGAATGTGAGCTATCATCATGCCAAATTTTAGCCCAATCCGTCCAGTAGTTTATGCGTGATTGAGCAACAAACACACACACAAACATACACACAAACATACACACAAACTCACAAACTTTCAGATTTATAATATTAGTAAGATTTCAGACAGCTGATCAAAACAAATCCTTAATACTTGAATTCTGATTTCTACGAAACACTACCGGTACTCCTCCGGTAATAATGGACGGATTTTTACAAACGATGTGTCAAAATTTAGTGTTTTTTGTGTAGACACCCCCTTTTACCAATTCATGTAATAAAAGTCCTTGGGCTTTGCCCCACAGGCCATCAAAATCCCAATGTATTTCTTATGAAGAAAATTTACTAACCCAGCTGTTTAATAAATCTTAATTCAGTATTGGAATTTGTCAAGGGTCAAGATATTTTTCCTACAGTCACCCAACAAAGTTGGCTTCCTTGTACTGTTTATAGTACAGAAAGCTGCTAATTGCTTCATATTTATACTTTGCCGTACGGTTTATACTTTGCCGCACATCAGGATTTCAATGAAACAACACAAAACAGCGATGTTCTATTATGCTCGTAATCCGTGTACCTACGCTTGGAAATAGGTTGGCTACACTTAAAGATAGTAATACTATGAGCAGCTGATTGACTATTATAACTACGGTTTAACCTGTCATTTTGTGTTTATAGTTTCGGTATTTCTGAACTTTCTGGACTTTTCTTTTAAACGTTTTTAAAACATTCCCACGATCTTAATAAACAAGAAACACCTTTAAAGCTTTTTTTAGGCGCTGAAACTGCTTCAAATTACAAAAACCTACGGAACTATATCGCGGAGCACATTTCTTGCCGAGATAAAATAGTGGAGTGATACGGACCGGGTACTACTTTCTCTAAAGCACCTATTTGTGTTGCCAGCTGAACCTAAAAACGTGTTGTATAGTGTTTGAAAGACTAATTATTTATATGCTTTATAGTGACTGTAGGAAAAATATAATGTGTAACACGAGTGCAAAAGGCCTTTGCTGCACTCGAGATCATTCCGCACGAGCCGCCTCTCGTGTGCAGCAAAGTGCCACTTTGTCCACTAGTTACACAAATAACTATTGTGTCATAACTACTGTCTATTTAAATTTTATCATATATGCTTATTGTTCTATTTTTGTTGAACAGATTGTAAATTTTAAAAAAATGAGTAGGCCTACATGTTTGTAGATTATAAACAAACAACACATAGGCTAGTTTAATAAAAATAAAAAGTAAGTATTGGGTTGGATACAAACAAATATCAGAATTCAAAAATATTTTCTGTGGTTGAATAAAATTCCACGAGCAGCAAGAGTAAGTTAAGTTTTAAAAACCATATAAGACGAAAATTAGTACAGTAGGCCTACGTGACCTTCATTGACTTAGACAAAATTATGGGACTAATGATGAACACCCCATTGGACTAAACTTAATTATCAGAGATCTAGAATTTAATTCTTTTGGACCCATGTGATGCATATTTTGGACATAGGCCTATGCACATTTTGTGATGCATTATATCAACGCTGAAAAAAACAGAAGGGGAGTGTACACTGCATGTTTTTACAGCGGAAAAGTGAGTCTGCCTAATGTACGTGTAAATAATTAGCCTATCTTAAACAACTTTTTACAAACAATGACACAAAGTCGATGCATTTTCCCATATAGGGAATAAGCTATTACCGTAGTACTCATGGTAAGACCTGGACCCGGCACCGATTTAATTTTTCATTTTGAGGTCCCTAGAGGCCAAAAACACCATTCAAATTCTTCATATATGTGTCCGTTAGCGCGAACACTCGAGCAAAAATGATCCGATTTTGATGAAATTAAAATATAAATAAAGATCAAACGAGGTGTTAGCCCGTCCAACGTACTATTCAGTAGTCAGTTAAAACCGTGTACAATTCAGATCAGCTAGTTTACACGTATAAATACAAAGTTAATTGCAGTTTTAATGTGAAAAATCATCTTGTAAACAAATGTTGTGTGACCAAATATGTTTTTATTCCATCATCGGCCTATACGATATGCATTTTAAATCCGATGATTTTACAATAAAACAGCAATTCTGCAATTTTTACAATGTGAAAAGCGTTGAGGTTAAATTTGCAGCCGATTCGCACAGACGCACACTGATTGTAAGTAGCCTACAGTAGAGAGAGTAATAGTCAATTGAGAAGTGTAGGTATAGACCTAGTCAACGATACCAACTCTTCCATACCTGCTCTTAGCATACCTACCTGCCTCTTCCATAATTATTATCACCACAATACAACTACTATACACAATTTCCAGTAGGTCTGAATAGAAACGACCTAAAATAAAACAAAAATATCCAATAAAATTCACAGTACACATAATTTAACTATGGTGTCCTAACATCAAAACTAATCGTCACACCTATCCTTTATATCAATTTCACTGCATTAATTGCTAAATAAATAAGTGTAAACAAAGAAAAGTAAAAACAATAACAGTTTGTTTTGAAACAGCTGTTTGGTTCAAATAACATTCATTTGAAAAAAAGAACTGGTCACATGTAGCAGGAATATAAAAAGTAAACACGCTAGTAAAGCTAATGACGTAATTGTCAATGTTTATTAGCCATACCGTTATCAGTTCTATCCTTGATAATTACCCACCCTTATTGAATAAATGTACATCGTAATTTCCCATATTAGTTAATTTAAACTACAATATATTCATAGTTGAAATAAAAGTGATATTTTCACGTTTGGGGGTGCTGATATAGGCGCCCCCAAAACGTAACCACAACTGAACACGATTTCATAAAAGGATGGTTTGTCTAATTGCAGTATCCTAGGTCAATGTTGACATTGTGTTCAATCTATGTCATCCATCTGTTTATCTTTGTATAAAACCCGGCTGAGGTTGTGGTGGTAATTTAAATTTGTGATTCCTGATTATTCTTTATCTTCTTTTTATGACATCAATATTTCCGGGCCTAATCCAAACAAAGTTAAAGCAGACAAACATTAATTGTAAACAAAAAGCTAACCATGAAGAATTAAAACATGTAACATTGTTATTTTTCTAATCTTTCCTTGAAAAGTGTAAAATAATTTGCATTTATCCTTTTTTATTAAGACTCGTGTACAGAGCCTCAATTTGTACTGTGGTTTAATTAATTTTGGTTAAAACTGGGGTCTAATTATCTCTACTAATCTTACTTATTTCCTATAATCAATGACAAAATAAGAGTAATTAAAATAACCTCATAGTTCCATAGTTTATATTTAACCAGCTGTTAGTTAAAACAAATTATATTGCTCTAAAACAAATCGAAGATTACAAAGATTGCTTTAAAAAATAATTTGAACATCCTCGTATTTTACTATGTATATTTAATTAATCTGTCATCCTCTTACAGAAGAATTGAACGTATCAATGATTAGCATTACACATAGTATAAATAAGTCAACCCTAAGTATGTCTTTACATTTTTATCCAAATGCTGAATTTGTGACACAAAAGCTGAATGTTTACAGCTGTTATGTTAAGCAAATTATTTTATGCCAAAAGCTAGTTTAGAATCTTAGCGTTGGCTGCTAGACTTTTTAAAACTTAAAACTTAATTTCTAAAAAATTGGGACCCTAAAATAAAATTATGGCTTCGACATTCCCTAGTTCTCAAAATTATCTTTCTTTCAACACAAAAATCATGAAAATCCGTCGAGTGGTTGATTCAGAATCGTGAAATAAAAAAACACTGTTTCGTTTTAATATTATTAAAAATGTTGAGATTCACCAATAATATATAGTAGAGAGTTAATATGGCCCAAACTGCTTTCTTTACAGTGTTTGCAAAATAAAATTATAAAACAAATTAAGTTGTTACTTTTCATTCTTCACCCAAATTCAATTGCTTAATTTCGAGCAAGAAGTTAAATATAATATTTTACTAACTATGTTGTAGGTTTAATTATTATAAAACTTTGTCATAGCCTAGATTATTTATTTTAATACAAAGTAAATTGATTATGGAATTAACAATAGATAATAGTTGCTGTATCAACCCAAGCTCTGCTTTCGATTTATTAAAGTGTCTTAAGAAAATTATGTTATTGATATACAGTATTTTCATATAGGCTAAGCAGTAGAACAATTACAATTTAATAACTTATATTACTTAATTATATTATATTAATTATATTAAATAATTACAATTTAGGTTATACTTTTTTGTATAAATTTGGTGGCTTTTTGTTTGTTTATAAATTTGAACTACTTAACACATTCAGTGCTAATAATTATGAGTTTTGCGACACTAAAATGCAAAAAAATTATAATGTGAAAACTAACTTACAAAAGATGTCAGGATATCAAAAATGATGAATCTAGATGTCTTAGTGTTGATTTTGGCTGAAAATGCTGACGTCACTTCCGGGGCGGGAATTCCCGTCCATAGGTACTGATGCAGGCCTTTTCTAACCCCTTACTTTTTTCAGCCCCACGCGCACACAGTCACACTGGAAATAGTGTTTTTATATTCAACAGTTATTATAACATCAATATTTGTATAAACAATATATTTACAACCCCCATACCACCATTATATAATGTTTTTAGTGTTCAGAAATTTCAATTACAAAATGTTTTCAAAATTTTTTTATATGTAAAAAATATATTTTGCATGGAAATAATAAAAACTTTAACTAAATCATTAATATTACAAAAGAGTACTAAGCCTAACCCCACACAATGTAGTTGACACAAACACGAAGCACCAAAAAAAATCTTGATAGCCAACACGGAAACGAAACACGCCAAAAGTTGAAGCGACACTTGTACAAAACGCGGCAATCGAACACATTTTCCCCATGCAAGGCTAAGCTCACATTGAAGCAAGGTTGTTGGCATTGGAGAAGGACGTCACCCTGCACCAGTGGGGCCGGTACCACGGGGCGAGAATTCCCGCCCCTAGCACTGAACGTGTTTGGATTAGGCAGTATAGTACATCTTCCCTAGCGAAGCACGGGTACAGCAGTTGTATATTAAAATATGCGGCTGTATATAATTTAGATAAACCGTAATAAGTTAAATCACAACCCCACTTGCTATAGCTTTACTTTTCTTAAACAGAAAAATACGTTAATAAAGTACAGCTTGTGACATCTAAGCTGGCACTTGGCCGATCGCTAGTAGTACGGTACCTATTTCAAAAACATTATGTCCCGTCATCCGGGTTGCATCAACTGTCCTCGCGACCCATATGAAGGCACTCAAGTACATAATAAAGGGAAGTCAACCACGTGAGCCAGCGGAAATGTTTGCAGTCCGGTCTTTTCCCTACCTCCACCCTCCTCCCGCCTACAATGCCCCAGCTAGGCCAAGTGCCAGCTTAGGTGTCACGAGCTGTAGTTATTATTTTCCAACTGAAAATGATAATAAGCACAGTCTTCTGTGATAGGTAAGATACACTGATGTCTTATCCCACTGCTTCCATACAAAATTAAAATAATTGCATTTTCCTTTCCAGATTTTGAATGGTCATGAACGGCATTGTCAGCTCCATGCTGCGTAAGTATATTTTTCCATTCATAATAAACAAAATTGTCCAAATTATGGGCCAAAATATATAGGCCTATTAATTATTTAAACCCTTATTCTATAGGATTTATTATTTTTCTATTGGGTAATCAAGTTTTATTATTTTTAGTCATTTTGTTAGCAAATTTCACATGAAGGGAATAACCCATTATCATAGGTTTCATGGTAAGACCTGAACCATAGACAAAAAGAATTAAATATAGATTGTCAGCCGTGCTTAGGTTACCATGGTTAACATAGGTTCTGGCCCACACCGCTTGGAGCACTGTGTAGTTACGTAGCGTGTACGCTGTAACTACATGGCGCTCCCAGCGATGTGCACCAGAACCTATGTTAAACGTAGCACAGCTGACGGTCTATATTTAATTCTTTTTGTCTATGCCTGAACCCAGGACCAGAAAATGGAACCTTATTGGGTTAACCAAAATCGTCGTAGTTGATGTGAGCCACCAACAGCCAACAGATTGTGCTGATCTAAATTACTAATTTCTGATGATTACACAATCTGTTTAACCAATTCAAACTAATGGAATGACTTTTTGTGAGCTATAGCAACTGTTATGACCCATCAACTTGGCCAGCAACATAAAATAAGGTAGAAAATAGAGCTTTTGTCACTAGCACATTCTGTGACTGGTTAACACAACTACATTTTTTTGCAAAAAAATGGCTACAGCCGGTCCAAATAGTTGGGAAGTCTACTTCAGTATCCAATAGTCAATGGCAAAACTTTAAAAAGTAGGCATTTGAATCATTAAGCTGGTTTCTACCAGTTTAACTTACCAGTTATGAATAACTTTTTGTTCACTTTTTGTTTTGAGTTCTCCAGAGGCCGTAAACACTATCTGTTTGATTAAAAAAAAACTCCCCCAACACCTTCCACCAGCTTTATGATTTAAATGCCTACTTTTCACAGTTTTAGTATCCAATAAGAACCATTTTCTGTTCCTAAATTACATTCCTAGTAAATGGCATTGTGATCCTTTTTTAGTAATTTTCTCAATTGACAGCTAGTTTAATGTAGATTGAATATGGGGTATCTAGGCCTAATAGTACTGTATTATAACGCATTATTAAATTTGAAATTTCTAACAAATAGGTAGGCCTCTTATTTTCTTACACTTAAAAAAACCTTTGAGGTTAATTTCCACTAGACCCATTATTTGATAGTGAATTCTGTAAAAAAAATCCTTCTTCAAGTCTAACCCAAGGTGGATAAAATGAGGATTAAGCCAAATCCTGATTTATCATACCAATTCCTAACCAACAAGTCTGTGTTCACAGACAATAATTTCAAAATTAAATGTGAATTCTTTTAAAATTACTACCCAGAATGTAGTGAGATTGATTTGTAATATAGATGCCTACCTGAAGCTGAGTTTGCATAGTTATAAGTGTATTGTTATTTTAGATGATACTGAGTGGAAAGAAGGTATTCTCTCGTGTGTATCGTGTCATCTTAAGTTTACATCTTTCAACGAAGGTCAATTCCACCACCTGCAGCACATTGGCGATTCATCAGTGTACCTCACAAAGCTAAACTCCAAACTCCTTCGTCGTTTACAAGCAGGTAGGCCTACGTCCAATCTGTCTGTATCTTAGTGGTGGGAGATTTCTGTATGTTGCCAGTAGACTTGAGAAAGTTTTCTTAATATCCTAAAAACTACAGTATTGATTGTAGTTGTTTGCAAAAGTGTGGTCCTTTACCACTAACGGTGAGTTTAGTAGGTTGTCATTAATCTGACTTTGTATGGTAGGTCTAAAACAAAATTTACTTTTCTACGTAGATTCATAGAGATTATTATTCAATCACTAGAAAACACAACTTGTTTTTGTAGACTTTGACAAGCCTATTATGACAAATAATTGAAGGATGACAACATTTTGGAATCCGGAACAATTTTACTGTTCCTAGAGTTCTCGGGATCCCTGAGCATTTTATAGGAAAATCAATACTAATTCTAGTCCGTCATTACGTTCCATGTAGCTAGTAGTGACTGCATACTACTAAACAACATGCTGTACAACAAAACTGGGTTGTTCATAATAATTTATTCCTGACATAGCTGTACGACAATTTTATTAATTGCTGACAATGGCTGTTTAGATGAAGCAAAGTCCGGATTAGCTGAATGAGAGTTTTCTATGTCTTGAGACCACGAGCACACAGGAAGATTCTTAATTCAGCATTTAATTCTTTCTCCCTACAATTTATAACTAGGTCAAGTTCAAGTTCAAACTTTTTCCTGTTAATAAACAAAATCTAGTATTCAGTGTTATTGCCCCAAGCTATTAATTTTTTGTGGTTAAGGAAAACAAATTCATAACCATACAATGTTCAAACCACATGTACAAAAATTCAAATAAGTATATGTTTTTATATCAGGCCTACAAGCCAAATGTAGACTGTAGGCTAGAATAAACAGCTTTCTAACGTTTCTCTAAACTCAGAATGTTAAACATGGCCACTTTATTAACAGATGCACTCTTGTGCCAACATCAAGAAGAAGATAAGTAAGCGTAAGTAAATCTGCTTGGTTGTATGTTTGTTAACTGCACTTAAAGCACTAACTGCCATGTTGTGTCTTATTGGGTTGTGCATCCTTATTTTTTTCAGTTTTATTTTCCTTTTTAATCAATTTTATTTTGTGTCTATGCTATTAGCATTTTTACATTTATGTTAGGGAATGGTCCAAACCCTAGTCTGGATACTCTCTTACGTCACAAATACCCCAATGATAGAGGGCATCAGGGCCCAGAAATGATCTCACTTGGAATCGAATCAGTGACCTTCAGATTTTAGGGAGAGCCTTATAACCACTCAAATAATCAGATCACTGAGGTATTACTTTAGGTAATTATTGACAAGTTTGAACCAGAGTATTTCACAATTTTTAAAACCAAACAAAATAAAGTTACTAAACTAAAGATTTAATCATATTGAACGTAAACCCATTGGCCTACATTCAATTCCTCTGAGCATTAGTTTTTGATCAATAAAAAAAGTAAATACTTAAAATCATGACTTTATTATGAAATACAAATTGTTTTATTGCTTTTGACAAACCATTGAAATGCAGTATACTATCATAAACCAATGTAGGCCTAACTAATATTTTGTGCGCAAGTGAATTTGCATTTGGAAGTATTTAACTCTCTGCCCAGATAATGTGGCGAAGGTGAAGGATTGCTGTTTAGTAGGCAATTAAGGTAATAAGGTATTTTATCAGTTAAAAAAGGCCTTTAGTCATTTAAAAAATTAGGGAAATTTGGTAATACTAACAATAATTTGGCTCACCTATTAACATTGATCCTAAATTAGTCCTTGCAATAACTTAAATTACAATAACACCATTGGTTTGTAATTTTACTTTTTAGATGTAATGTAAAAATATTCAAAAAACAATTTTCAATGCCATGAGTATATTCAATGATCACAAATCCAAATTATTATTTTCAATGTTTACAGGATCCAAATGACTAAATTGTGACTTGAAACAATGTCGATGAATGTAACAGTCAATGAGTTAAAATACCCAAACATGTGATATTGTCAAATATCCATTAGCCTATTTGAGATTTGATTTGTGCAACAATAATAATGTGTAATTTCACCTGTTATTTATTCCATACAGAAAAATCAATTTGATTGTCATTTTTCTATTTTTATGTTGTTGTTAACATAAACAATACAAAAGTAAAACTTTCAGAATAATCCATCAAAGTAATAAATTATAATATGGAAGTATTATTCAAAGACATTTTTGACAATGCGAAGATTGAAAGTTCAAGTCACGAACTTGATGAATTTGGTAAATAAGCTGTATTTTTTTTAGGATTAGTTTCGTTTATTTAGTTGAATGTTATTATAGGCTATATTTTGATGTTCTGTTTACTTTGCTCACTGGCCTTTTTGTGAAGCACTTTTATAATAATGGTCATAAATAACAACTTGTTCTATTTTTTAACTTACTTTCTGTTTATTGAATTGTGCATAAATGAGCATGCTACTATGGACATTCCAATAGGCTGAGCTATGACCTTTGATAGATATGTAATACTGTACATCTTAATTGTACTTCCTTGGAACGAAGTGGAAAAATCACATTCTATTTAGGCTATTGTAAAAACTGTCCATCCAACTTCTCCAACTTTGTAACAGAGAGACTCGAATGGATTTTGCAACTGTTTTAACTAAAGAATTGGTGTAAATATACCTACTTTTATGCATAAATGCAGGTATTTACATCAATTCTTAAGTATTTAAATGCGATCAGGAGGCAAAAATTTCGTTTATTATAATGAAAATGTATTATAATTAAGCTATTTTTAACCATAGTTTTTTTGTCGCTTTATGAACCATCGGCCAGTCATATATCTCCAACAGGAGTTTTAAAATCTGGAATGCTCATAAAAACACCAATCATTGTGGTCATATTTATCAACTATCAAAAAAATATAATCCTAATAAAATATTTAGCATGGACCAAACACTATATAGTCCTAACCCAATTCAAAGCTGCCGTATAGGCCTACACATGAGTTTGTTTTTAAACCTTGGCATGTGGGTAGGGATCTGACATAGTGTGTAAGAATTTCAGTATAGAGCAGTACTGTACAAGTTTAGCAGTGCACCAACTGTACAAGTTACAGTAGCACCAAAGCGCATACTTTGCAGTACCATGTCACTTTTTTGCAATCTACTTGTTGTAATTTAAAGCAGTAGCGTAACTTTTATTTTCAAGATTGTAGTTTGCTACATTTTTAAACTAGTGTATGTGGCATTTTGAACTATTTTTATTTTCTTCTTTTCAGATTATGATGTAATTATTTTAAACATATAAATTTAAGCTTTAACTAGGCCCAAGACAAATTGCAGTCCTTGACAAGTAATTTTTATAAATTTTATCCTTACCTTTTACATTTACCATTTACCATCGAAGTCTTCGCCGCAGTCCTTGGAGACCGGGGAATTGTCAATTTTTCTCATCTTTCTTCTTGCTAGCTTCTTGATTGTGTGTAGTGTTGTAGTGTGGTTGAATGTGTGATTTGTATGATGAGTGTTATTTTGTAGGAAATTTATGTTCTTCTAGATATTCTGTAATTGTGTAATAAGGTCGATTTAAGAGGTATTGTTTCAGCTGTTTTTTGAAGTTAGAGAGCAAGTTTATGTCTTTAAGTTTGTTGGGTAAGATGTTGTATAGTTTTATTCCCATGTAATTTGGTGTTTTGCTGGTTTTTGTTAGTCTGTATTGGTTTAGATTAAAGTTTGATTTTACTCTGAGGTTGTGTTCGTGACAGTTTATTCTGAGTTGAGGTGGGTTTGATTTGATAAAAAGGATGGTTTCGTAAAGATATAAGGATGTTAGGGTGAGGATCTGGTTTTTGACAAAGAGAGGTTTACAGTGTTCTTCCCGATCAACTTGTTCCAGGATTCTGATGGCTTTTTTCTGTTGTACTAGTATTTTTTTCAGGTCGGTTTCATTGGCAGAGCCCCATGCAATTATGCCATATCTAATGTGTGAGGAGAAGAGAGCGTGGTATGCCGTTTTGCAGATCTCTTTGTTTGTGATCTTCCTGATTCTCCTTAGAGCATATACAACTTGGGATAGTTTACTGTCCAGATTTTCAATATGGTCATGCCATGTTAATCGGTTGTCCAGTGTGATTCCAAGAAATTTAGCGTTTCGTTTTTCATTTCCTTCCTGTATCTGGCTGTTAGAAGTGAAGTTTAAAACTGTTGTTTTTTGTTGATTTATTTTTAGGTCTAATGAGTTGCAGGTGGCTATTGAAGTTTGAAGTGTTTCTTCTATTTTTTCCCTTTGGGTGTTGGAATTTGTTGGTGTAATTATGGTAGTGTCGTCCGCAAACATTATGCAGGAGCTATCACTAGATAGGTCATTCGGAAAAGAATTTATGTATATTAGGAAGAGGATCGGGCCAAGTATTGATCCTTGCGGGATTCCTTGATAGGTTTCTCTAAGTTTAGATCTGTATTTGATTTCATAGTTTTTTTTTAGTGTATTCTAGTTCTACAAGTTGTTGTCGGTCTGTCATGTAATTTTGGAGCCAGATTAAAGCATTATGGGTGATATTTAGTTCTTGAAGTTTCTCAACTAGTATTTCTCTATTCAAGCTATCGAAGGCTTTTTCTATGTCTAGAAAAATGCTTGTTGCTTGGAGTTTTTTTTCCCAGATTGATGTTATGTCCTCGCATAGATTTGCAAGGGCTGTATTTGTTGATCTGCCATGTCTGAAGCCGTGCTGTGATTGGGTAAACTTTCCTTTGTCCTCCAGGTATGTGATGAGCTGATTATGTATTGCCTTTTCTATATATTTTGAGAGCGTGGGTAGGATAGATATTGGCCGGTAATTTGAGATGCAGGTTTTCTCACCCTTCTTAAATTTGGGATAAACTAAGGCAATTTTTGCTAATTTGGGGACTTTAGATTGTTCTATAGATGTATTGATGACATGTAAGAGTGGCGTGATTATTTCCCTTTTACAGTGTTTGATCATTTTGTTAGATATTTGATCTAGTCCAGAAGAGTTTTTAGGCGGTAGATTGTCAAATATTTGTTAAAGTACCTTTTTGGTTATCTTGTTAAAGTTTGCTAGTGAGTCGGCTCTGGGTTGTTGTGGCAGATTGGGTTTAGATTTCGGTTTTGGGGTGGTTGAGGTCCTATTGTGCAGAGTTTGGCGTGGTTTTCCGAGGGTAATAAAGTGGTCGTTTAAAAGGTTACAGATGTGGGTTGGGTCGGTAGTCAGTTTTTCATTGCTGATAAGATTTATTTCCTCTTTAATTTTCCTGTCCGCATTTCTTTCTTTATTTATGGTGCTCCAGAGTTCTTTGTTTTTGTTGGGCGCATTTTTTATTTTCTGGACAACAGCATTTGATTTTTGGATTTTGACTTCTAAGTCATATGCTCTTTTCATTTTAACGTACGAGAGTTTGTCCTCAACCCTGTTTGAGAGTAAGTATTTATGTTCTGCTAGTTGGAGTAAGTTTTTCAGTCTAGTAAGTTTATCATTCCAGAATATCTTTTTTTTCTTGCTACGGTGAAAAGTTTTGTACTGTTTAGGCATGATTTCTTCGATTTTGTATTGTAAAATTCTTATAAAGGCATCATACTTTTCATCCACATTTTGTTTAGAAAAGACAGTAGACCAATCTTGATTTTTGAGGGATGCTCTGAGTTCGTCTAGATTTGCTGGAGATGTTATTCTAATTTGTCTTTTTATGGGTGCTATAGGTTTTTTGTGTCCTATCTTTAGTTGGCAGGTAATTGCTTGATGGTCAGATATTGAGTTACTATGGGTTTTTACTTCAAGGTCCTCCTTGTTTATGTTAGTACAGCAAAGGTCTATACAAGTTTTTGATGTGGTTGTTATTCTGGTTGGAGGTAGTTCCGATGGTTTCAAGTTATGTTCCGCTAATATATTTAAAAGAGTTTTTGTTTCAGTTTCGTTATCTTTAAATAGGTCTATGTTTAAATCACCCATCACTATTATCTTTCTGTTCTTGTGAGATATTGTGGAAAGTAAGTTTGAGAAATTTTCAAAAAAAGTGTTCAGGTTCAGGGATCTATATCCACCAATAATTACAGTCTTGAAGTCGGGTAGTTCAATTCCTACAAGTTCTGAAGATTGTTCTTCACAGAAGGTGAGCGTATTGATTTCTCGGATTTTTAGGATGTCGACATTGTTTTCCTTGCAAAAGATTGCTATTCCTCCCCATCTATGTGTTATTCTTGAGAATTCTGTTATTAAAATGGAATTTGGAATGTTTGTTATTTTTAGGTTTTCTTTTTTTTCACCATGTTCTGAAATTATTAGAATGTCTGGATCGAGGTTTTGAATTTCTAGTTGTAGCCTGTCTATTTTACTCTGTAGCCCTCTCTGGATGTTTAGGTGATAAATTTTTAAGGTAGGCCTATCAGTCTTATCTGTCTTTTTTTGCGGTTTTGAGTTAGAGTTATTGGTAGTTTTGTTCCTGATGAGTGTAGGTGGTGATTTTAGGTGAGCTATGGTTCTAGGGGTATTAGTGGAGTTGTCTCGTTTGGGTGTTGGGAGTCTTCCTTTGCAGTTTGGTTAGTATTTTTTGGTGTCTCGGTTTGTTGGTTATGTAGCGAATGGTGTGCTGCTGTTTCAGTAAGAGTCACATCTTCCTTAGGTGTCATAATTTGATGGATGTCATTAGGCTTAGGGGTTTCTGTTTGTCTGGTTGTTTGTACAGTTAATTAGCTTTTTGTATATTTAGTTTTGCTTGATTTTGATAGATGAGAGAGAATGAGACCTTTATCTTTAATGAAAAATTAACTGAATTATAACTTAACTTAGGGGGTAAATCTGGAATGACAGAATCCAATGCAAAATTAGCTGACTTTGTATTTGATTGTGGCTGAATGAATGTAGATTGCTCCATTTAGTAGCTTCTTGAACGTCGACTTTTTTAAAGCCAGCTTTGAGCGAGTTTAGAAGATGAAAATGCTTTAATGTCACTAAAATTAGGCAACACAAAAACAATTCCTTGGTCTGTTAATAAATAAAATATCCAAACGTAGTGTAATTTTGTAACCATCTAAAATAATTCTTCACATTTAGGCCTATAGGCCCTAATTTAGTAGTATTTTCATAGAATTAATGGTGATGATTAACCACTGTCTGTGTAGTGGCTGTAAGTATGTTTTATTGATTATTTTGCACACTTCTGTTTTATTGGTTTAATATTCTGTGTTTTGATGCAGGTAAACCATTAAAGAAGCGACCCGGGCCTAAGTGCAAGACGTTGGTAGCCGAAAATCTGCCACCAAAACCCCAGCACTCTCCTCTGAAACTTACGTTCAAAAGGCTACCAACCTGCCGCGAGCCGGTCTTCGAGGTAATGTGTAACTGTCTCAATGTCTATGAGCAATATTGGTGGCTATGTTGCCTGTTTAGTGTTACGGTTATTGCATGATATGTGTATGTAGTTGTAAGCTCATAATCCCTTCATAGAACCTGATTTACTTTGTTTTCCTTCATACATAGGCTACATTGTAGCTTTTGGGTTCTTAATAACTGCCAAGTAGAATACATTACAAACCGATAAATTTGTGACTTGCGGACTGTTGTGATCCTTATAATGTTTGTGTGGTAATGAACATTTATTTTGGTATTTCTTCATTGTGGTTGTTATACTTTAAACTCATTGGACTACTTAAAGCTAAATACAAGCTACAATACATTGAGATAATCTTAAATGATTTTTACACAAACGATTTAACAAGGGCTCTTATTTATTAATAATGCTGGCAAATACTTTTAAAATATGTACCTTATGTAAAATATATTCCCCGTCTCACCACCCTGGTTGAAATCAATATATGATATTTTGCTATCCATCCTAATATTTTTTAGTTAATGTAAAATAAACACACCGCTACTATTTACTTATCAAGATCAAACAACATTTACCTTACCCTTATCTAGGCAAATGATAAAAAAAAAAACGGCCTATACAGTTATTTATTTATTTTGTAAAACTTACGTTTTCAAGCAGTTGATCATAATTTTACTTTTTATTTTAGTAAAACTTTTCGGTTTCTATACTAGAAAAATAAAATAGATTGACTAACAGGCGAAACCCGAATTTCTAGGTTGTGAAAAAGAAGGGGAGGGTGAAATCTTTTGCTGCCATGGATGACATGATACCTGAAGGGAGGGGGGTTTTACCCTCCCAGTCACAAACTACGAGCCCGACACCAATTGATATCCTGAGGGAGGAAGGTAGGCCGACCAAGGCATCAATAGATATGTTAGCTTTAGAGCGAATCCCCAATTTAAATTTTGAAATATTAATTATTTTATGTTCATAGGCCTAGTGGTCAACCATCAGCAACAAATTGTACGAATTGGAAGCTCCGCCTATATAAAAGAAAATATAAATTTAGATGCATTCTTTGTCATTTTTACAATTTTGTTGTCTGGTTTTCTTGTAAAAGCAAAAACAATCATAATGAAGCTGCAAAAAATTTTACGGGGATTAAGTTAATAGTAAACTTGTTATTATTATTATTGTTACTAATGTTATTATGATTCTTCATCCTTACCATATGAGTTTATTTATCATCTAGTTCACACAGTGTAAATTTTGTAAAGCCTGGCAAGAAATATTAATATTTAATTACAACTGATATTTTTGAAATCTGTTAACAATAAAATCATGATAATTTCCCTTGATAATTTTAACATCTAGAGCGTTATGATTATCTCCTGCAACAACAATGACATCTCAAATTATTTATTTTGCATTCTTTGCAGATGTTTTTTGTCATTGTGATCCCATGTCAAAAATTCACTCTTGAAAAGCTTAGATTGGTTTTATTTTTAGACTTAAAGCTCAATTACTTGAGATTTTAGGTTAGAATTAGCTCGGTTCAAAACTCAAACCAGTTGCACAGCTCTAAAAATGTTAGCATATTCCAATTAAATAAATATTTGTAAAGTGCCAATTCCTGGTCGGAAACAAAATGTTTGAACCATTTGACATCAGGTCAGATCTTGTACTGGTTAATGATGCTGAATGAATTATTACCGAAATAGATTGATTCTTGTCAATTCCATATATTACATGGTTTGTCAATCAAAAAGCTTCAGCTGTTTACATTGTCGGTTTCTTCTACCGGTATATATGGTAGTATGTGTTCAAATCTCATAAATTACAGTTATTTGTTTTTAAATGGAACTAAATCTGAAATTGTTTTGGTTTTAAATACTTCAAATATAATATTCTGAGAAATTTGTCTTATTAAATAAAACAACGCGCTGTGAAACTAGTTATGACTAACACCTAATGTAAATTTGTAACTAATACCTTGAACAAAAATTTGTTTAGTAAATCGATCTTCAATTTCTTTTAGTTAATGCAGATTCTCATAGAAGTACTTGGGAAAGCTTAGCCGTCACATTTGGTGAGTTAATTAAACATACAATGCATTTTGAGTTAGTCGTTAGAGGTTTGGTTTTATGACTTTTATTAGACACGTTGTTATCAGGCAGTATATATGAAAATTGTTCATTTAGATCATTTGTTTTGTTGTAATTAATTTTGTAGATTTTTTAAAAGGATTTAAGTTCAGATAGTTTTATTCCCTGAAAACATCTTACTAAAGAAAGCTACTTACTTATGGGCGCATAAAAGTCCATGTTTTAGAGGTTTTGCTTTATTTAATAACTTCTTTTAATTAAAATGTATCTAGGTATATTGAGTTAAATCATTTGAAAAACTTAAAGCAACATTTACAAATTTTGCAAAGAGAATCTCCCAAATGTGGTAGCCTATATAGCAATATTGAAACATTTTGTTTGTCATTTTTATGAGTATAAGGAAGTCTTGACAAGTTTTCAACAAGGTAAAATGTTATCGATAAAGTGTGTTCTAATTGGTGTGAAGTTTTTTGGTTATAGTGCCTTAGTGACTTGTTTGAGGTAGGATTAAATGAGCTTTTACTTTCTTTGATTAAAATGACAGTTGATTAAAACCTCTCTCAACCATAACACTTTGTACTTAAATAATGATTAGCTGAAACTGCCCAAGAAAATAAAAACACTGAAAAGCATCATAGACAAAGGTAGGGAAAGTAAATTGACAGAACAAAGCAGGTTAGCACAGGTATAGGGTTAAGGCCAATTTCTGCTACAAAATGCAAATTAAAAACATAACTTGCCTACTATTATTTAAGTATGTCAGTTAAAGATTTATAGAAATAGACGGCAATTTGTCTGTGCCAGTCAATATGGCCGTGTCATTGCATAAACAGAGAGAAATCCAAAAAGTGAAGATTTGTTTCAATAAATTGTGGAACTGCAGCAATTTAATAACATGCATAAACGATCCTTATGATTATACGAGTATTAGTCCATAACTTCCATGAAAAGTCTCAACCGTTAAACACCGTCTCATTGTCACTACTGCTGGACTCGTCATCCATCCACGGCAAACCATCAACAAAATCACTTTGTCACCAAGGTTCCCCAGCCATAACTGTTTAAGGAACTACAAGTATTTCTATGGAGCAGAATTATAAAATGTTGGGGACATTTGTTGATGATAAGGATATTAGCAATGTTGTCAGTTTGCCAACAGTTACCAGAAGATACTTAAGCTAATTTTCCAAGGCGGCCAAATAGTTAATGATCATTAAAAAAAACCTAGATATCTGTTCATAGATATTGGCCAGTCGGCAGACTGACCAGTGGGCTTTTTTCTAATCATTTTGAAAAAATATTTTGAAAATCCGGATGTCATCCACCTTTTTATTTTGGTTAAGAGAGGTTCTGCTGTATTTTTAACACACTATATTGCACTTTTGTTAAGCCCTTAATGTTACTTTAAAATACAGGGTGGCCGAAAAGTCCCTTTACACTAAAGATAAAGTAATTGGTGTTCTAGGGCCGAAGCGGTGATGGGGGAAGGGAGAATGAGGCTTCACTCTCTTCCCCCACTGTTTCCTTACTACAAACTCACGTACGAATATTTGCTGATTAGTCGTGTTTATAACAACAGTGTATTACATAGGCCTACTGCAATATTGTGTAAATGGACTTTTCGGCCACCCTGTATGTGCATTGGGTTGGTTAAAAATGTGTACCGTACGTTTTGATCATCATGAAAACATTGGTGCAAACTCCATTTGCGATCAAAATTACTTGATGAGAAGAGTATAAATTGGCAAAAAGGCTTTGGCATTTTACACTTCAGTTTTATGGACTCAAGGTCACTGGACGGCTGACGATCAAAGGGTTGAAACTTGAAAGAGTTTTTGAACTAAAAAAAATAATTATATACTCTATTTTTGTTACCAAGTCTTAAATAGGTAACATATAGTCGTGTATTGAGCCAAGTTGGAGTTAGTGGTGATATCAAGTTTTTGTTTCTAGTTTTGATCTGACAAATTTCAACAGAGCTTTTTGACATTTAATATTCATTATCCCTCTATTTTTGTCTTGTTTCCCTCCCACAACCAAAATTTGTCATAAAATCTCTTAGTACATGTTGCATTTGACTTAAGTATTCATAAAATTTTGCACGAGCTTCTGCTGTTGGCATGTAAGCTTTGGCTGTCTGTATCAAAATGTTGTAAATTTGTAACAATTTGTTTTCTGTCAAATATACTGTGTTGTGTAGTTGTTTTGTATTAAAAAACCAATTTTAGTGATGGGTATATCCAAGAAAATGTCAGTACCGGATCTGAATCTTGCCTTAACGAGTGCCTTAAAAACTTCTACAAGTGTTGTTAATACTATTTATGTGAGTTTCGTACAATTCACCCTGTATGGACACAGATAGTCTTGTATACAGAGTCAATGATGAAAATTTTAACAAATTCAAAAAACAACATAAACAATTTCTGATTGACCATTAATTTTATTATTTAGAAGAACTTGTAAAAACATAACTTAAAAGTTAAAACATAGTTCGTTTTTAAATTTTAAATTTTTATCATATAAATAATAATGGAATACATAAAATTGTGTAAATAATTGAAAGTACGTTCTAGAGATGGGAATTATCGTTCACTTGGTGGATTCGTTCACTCTGGAGTTATTGAGTTGTCGGAACTAGTTCCGCGGAGTAGTTCCAACTTCGTTTAGAAGAGCGCTGAACACCGGACTTTCGGAGTGAGGAGCGCTTCCATTCAGACTCACTCACCAACCATTTTGGTTCAGAGCTCATAGTTCCAGTCCATCGTTCCTCTTCGCATCACCTCTGGATGATAGTTCCTGGTTCCATTCCAGTAATCGTTATTAAACAAGCGGAATGAATAATGATTAAGCTAGGCTAGGATAGGACCATAGTTAGTGGAGTGCTGGAGTGAGGAATGACGAAACAGTAGGGCAGTGAGTGAGTCGTTCCAGTCGTATTCTTGTAATGTTTGGTGTTCCGCTGCTCCCCTCTCTCCTCTCATTAGTCGATTACTGTTCATTACAGCCTACATTCATTTTTAACAGATTTTCTAAAATTTTAAATATTTATTTACTACAACAACCTCTAATTTATTACATAATGTATCTTAACCAATGACGGTCTCTTGACTATCTTTAGTTCCGAGAGGAACTAACTCCGATCCAAGAGCCGGAGTTGGACTTGTCGTTCCGGAGTCGGAGTAGTTCTTTCGGAGTAGTTCGTTCCGGAGTTACTCACCTCTAGTACGTTCAATCTTAGGTGAAATTGCAGTAAATGTTCTTGTATATGTTTTATCATCAGACTAAAAGATTTAATAATAACAATGATACATTCATTTACAATTTGTATGTTTTGAATAAAGATTTATTTTATTGAATTTTATAGTCTTGTGGACACAGATAGTCTTGTATATGGGTTTATTTTATCATTAATTTTATTTTATTCATCACTATGACGAAAAACCCGAACATATGTATGAATGAATTGTACTTTATAAAGAACGTTTTGTGTTAAAAAAACAAAAATCGGATCCAGCCCAAGATCCGGATATTTTTGGATCCGATCGGGCGTCGGTTCTAGCTCAGATCTGGTAGTCCGATATCCGGATCCGACCATCACTAATAATCATTTTATAAGAGAGAGCTATGAAATTAATATTTCATAAAATTTGTTATCCAAGAAACACAGAGTAGGTATTAGTATAAAAGAAATGTATTTATATAAAACACATTTTCAAAATTTTTGCAAAAGTATATTTTAGCTTATAAAACTATTGCCTGTGGTAAATTTGTAGCTTATTAAACTATTGCCTGTGGTATATTTGTAGCTTATTAAACTATGTCTGTAGTAAAGTTGCCTGTAGGCTTTTTGTTTGTGGCCAGAATAGTTGGACCGATAATTATCATTTCAGTATCATTTCAAATAGGAAGAATGCCAATTAAACTTTTGGTTTAAATTTTGTATGACTTGTGTATACTTAAATCAGAAAAATTGTGATTTTATAAATTGTAATTTGTTAATAAGGAAGAACTTTGCATTTCATAGCTGTACCAGAGCTTTTTGACATGTCCCAGTTATTCACATGAATCACTTGTGACTTCAAGTGAGTTTTAAACATTTACATTGCTTTTACTTGGCACTGCCTTTATCACATTCAGTACACTACATGTGCCAGTAGTAATGGTCGAAACCAAAAATTTCTAATCAAACTGAAAATTAAAAAAATAAATCTCAAAACTCAATTGTGATATTGTATTTCACTTGCTTGGTAAAGGTTATTAAAATTAAATCCAGGTAGTTAAAAAAGGATTTCATACTTTAAGAATAACAAAATTTATATGAGAAAAATAAAAACTAAAATTTGTAAACTAAATAGCACAGGCAACGAAATTGTTATTGGTTTTTGCTTCTACAAAACCATTATCATGTTCTTCAGGCCCCTAAATTACCTATCTTCAACATCCTCAAGGGATTCGTATTCAAAGACACACAATAAAAACACGGTAGACAACATTAAAGGACACTAGTCCTGGATTTACTATTAGTTAAAATGAAATAAGTCAAAAAGAAATTTTTCATGGCGGGTAAAGTTTAATTCCATAAAAAAAAAATGTAGCTGTAAAACACTTAAGTAAGTTGTAAGTTGGTTATTGGGTATTAATCAGTTACCAATATTACAGAAATTATTTTTAAGAGCCTAACAAAATGTATTTTAATGAGCTAATTTTCTTGGGACATAGAAATTGATGCATTAGATATTAACTTTTAACTGATGATCATGAAATAAATCGTCACAGAAAACTATGGTAAATAATATTCTTAAATATTCTCTAAGCATTATTTATCGATTATAGTTAAATTAGTGAAGTCAATTGATATTAATTTTTTTTACAGTCAAAAATGTATTAACAACTAATAAAAAAACACCTGTTTTTACAGGTTTCCTCGCCCCAGAGGCGCTGGAAGAAAATGAAGAGAAAGGAGAGACACCATCTGTCAACGGCAACCCCCCTGCGGCTCCCAAGGAACCCAAGAGGGGGAAAAAGACCAAGGAAAAAGACAAAGAAAAGGTGAATTGTTATTGATACACTCTAGGCTATAGAGTTTTTGAAATTTTTGTTTTTAGTTTTACAATGAATGCCTTCTACGTGTGTTGAGTAGGAATACAAACTGCCTTCACATCATACATTTTTGTCATCTTTCAAGTTTTTCAGTTAGTGTTAATCTGTAATTAATACTCTGTTATTTTAAGGTATTTTGTGCCGTGTAACTAATAGATTTTGTTATGATAGGAAAAGCAGCAAGAAGACTCAGGGATTTCATCAAACTCTGAGCCAGAGCCTTCCGATCCTCCGCCGCCCACGGAGCCAGCTCCGTCTCTACAATCAGTGGAGAATGAGATGGAGCGGATTCATGAAGGTCAGAAAAGCACCGAACAAGAATCATCAGACAGTGGATGTGAGAAGGATGGAAGCGAAACAGATTTTTCTGGGGAGAAAAATAAAGAGCCGACTCCTCCTCCTGCGTTGAATCCCAGTCCAGTCGGCAGTTTGACGGTACTCGCTCCGTCGGCTTTGAACAGCTCAGTCGTGAATGGTGCTCTACCGTCTGAACCTCTAGACAGTAGTGCAGTGATGGAGACGTTCAACAGTTTGGACACAGAGCAGCCCCTCCCCCCACCACCACCTGTTCTGAAGGAGGGAGTGAGTCTGACAGTGAAGACTCCGGCAGCGCTTGGTGCTACCATAACTCCCAACCTTCTCAACATATTACCTGAGACCTCTAGTGATCCTCTGGGCCTACTGAGGGGATTCCAACCTATGGAACCAAGTCAGAGTTTCATTATGGAAACTTGCGAGGTATGTTATATACACATTTATTCTGTAGGTTATAGTTATAGCTAAAGCTAGGTAATTGAGAGGATTTATTGCTCGCCTTGTTGTTGGTATATTGTTAATCCCAGGAAAAGCTTAACAGTCTTTTTGACAGTTTAGAATGGGTTATTTGTCTATGATCATGGCTATTTATATAAATGAACTTGATTAATTGGTAAGATGGTCTTAGTAATTAACAAGGTTTACCTGTAAAAATTTTTCTGCAATTATGCAGTTATTTTCTCCATCTGAAACAAATATTTCCTGATATACTGATCCCATATACTGATAGAGATACATATGCATATTTTTTATGCAGCTGTATCTCTATCAGTTTTAGATAACAATTAAATGAAGGTGAAAGTAGCACAAATACACACTTAAATAAGATAGAAGTAGTGGTCACATATTTTCTAAATGTTGTTAAGAACTCGGCATATAAAATCCGAATGTTTAGATTTTCTGAGTATAGCATGAGTTATAGTAATATTTGTGGTAGGTGTGTGGAGAGCGAAGTGACAACATTGAACAGCACAGGGCCACAATGGGCCACTACAAGTGTCATGTGCTGCCAGAGTGTGCTGGCTCTGTGTTTGCTAATCAAGGAGAGCTCACTAGTCATCAACACGTGGTGCACGGACTCAGCCCCACACCTCAGCAACAGTCCCTGCAGCAACTCCAGCAACAGGTTAGCACTTGTATTTAAATTTTGACTATTTAATCGCAAGAACGATTAAGTGAAGATAAGTGAAACGTCATGATTGTGTTTCAGAGAGTAACCACTTGCCTATGTACTGCACTTGTCTTCCGTTACTTGGCGTTTTATAGGGAATGTTCCCTGCAAGAAAAAATTCAAGTCACTCTTGACAAAAAAGTGTTCAAATTTTTTTATTGACATTTTTTAAGTAGGTAGGTAAAGTAATAAAGCTGACCATGACAAACTTACACAGCCAAACGCGACTGAGCTGTGGGATGGCTATGAGTTTAAAACTGAAACCGTTTGCCAAAATTTACTATTTCAAATAACAAGATATTTTTCTGTGTAAGAACCAATTGTTTTTAATTTCATAAGCACAGGTGCTTGAGTATAAAAATCTAATAATTACAAATTTTAACAAAAACAAAAAAAACCCTTTATACACCAATACCAATACAAATCTTTTACATAACACTTTAACTGTCTAGCTATTAATTTTAACCTGATTGTTTTCTCAGGTCCAACGACTGCCAGTGCCTTACGGGATACCCACCCCACCCCCTGCCATGGGTACACCTCCACCAGCCATCAGTCCCTCTCTAGGCTATAGGGTACCCAGCGGAGTCACTTTGACGTTTCCTGGAGCCTCCCCCTCCACTCCCACCATCACACCGCGACAGTTTGCCATGCAGACGTCCCCCTCCACTATACAACCGGACGGTAATTACATCTTGCTAACAATCAGGCCAGTGTTAGTGTTACCCACTCGATGGAAAACCTTGTGTTGTAAACTTCGTAGATGAAACCTTTAATAATGATGAACTTATTCTGATTTTATAGGTTAGAAGTTAAGTAAAGGCCAATTGGCTGAGGATTATTATGTACAAGGATAGGGATCAGCCAGCTTACCTGGTAGATAGAGTCCAGATTAACTTTGGTAGCACACATAAAACGCATAATACAAAACAGTAAAACTTAATATTTTGTCCCAGTTAGGGACTTCATCAGAAGGGGGAAGAAAGAAGAATGGCAGGTTAAAGTTCAAATTCTAAAGTTCCACAACAGTGCTGCAGTGGTTTAAATTGAAATAAAAATTCCTGTTGCAATGTACATCTATAAATACACAAACTCACATATACACATGGTAGGTTGATTAAAAGTTCAGTGAAAAAATGTGAAGCTAGCTGAGAAAAGGGGTGGGGGTGGATTATCTGATGTTAAGGTTAGGAGGGTTTCTGGAATCAGTAATGTATTGGTTCGAATAAATGTAGATTTACGCGTTTGTACCAAATTTCATCAAAATCGGACCATTTTTGCTTGAATGATCGATATTTAATTACGTTCACTCTAAACAATTTTAGCTATCATTGTTTTCAGATTGTACATATATTTGAACATAAATGCTTTTAGCAAAGTTCCCTTTAAAGAAAAGCTATTATTCTTTTTAAAATCATGGAGATTTTAGTTTTACATTGTGATTGTTTGACAAGTGATGTTTTGCAGGCAACAACTGTGCAGCTTATCGTTTAAATCCCTACTATAAAATTAATATATTATTAATTATTATTAAGATTAATGTATAAGTTTAATATTGTGTCTGAAAACTAAATAATGACACATACAGTAGTTACAAAATACTTAATTGTAATTAACTACGTATCTTTTGTTTAGGATCGCCAGTGCCTGTTGCTTCGCCCACTCTACCTGCAGGGCTGGGCCGGTCTATCAGTATATCTCCTTCTATCAAAACAGCACAAAAGCGGGCCACCCCCTCCCCTGCTGAGAGTGAAGCCAGCAAGAGAAGGTAAGTGGTTGGTTACAGTCATAGATCTTAATATAATACAACTGGATCATGAGCTGAGCGTTGGGATTTCGAGCGGGTGGAGCGAGGGCGGCAACCCTGGTCCGCGTCTGTGATGCATTCATAGTAACACAAAATCAACTGAGTGGCAAAGCAATAATACTGCTCAAATCAAATCTTTAAACATGAAAATTACATTTACTTTTCTTTTCTGTTCAGAATAACCATTTGTATGTACATATTCATTTTGAAAGGAATGAAAACCTTTGTTTTAATTTTATTCAGATTTAGAGATTTTCATGGTCTTTTATTAGGACGAGCTCCAATGGAGCGCCTGAAAATACTGGTTATCCTTGTCGTGATTAGTGCGGTTAAAAACTGATCAATATTTTCCTGTAGGCATTTTTCTCACATTGTTAACATAAATAGAAACTACTGTACAGTGAAACTGTGTTTGATACAACGATAGACTGTGGCGGTGGCAGGACAGTCAGTAGTGGCACAAGGGTATAGTGGTGTGGGTAGCGGGGGTAGGTTAAAATATATTAAGACTAGCAGAGTACCCGTCCTTCCTACGGGGTTGGAATATAAGTATAAAATGCTTATTGCAGTTATACTCAAGCTTTGCGTTTGCGCTTACACTCTATAATTAATACTGGACTACTGTAAACTTAGTGAATTTTTCTCTATAACTAGTAACTAGCCTTAATTTGGGGTTTTTGTGACAATAATTTTTAAGACAAAAGTTTTATAGAAGTATTTCACCTTTTTAACTTTTTAAACACACTGTTTGTGTTGTAGTCGGCCGGAGAGTCCAGACTGTATGCTGGTTGAGGACGGGTCTGCTCCACCCAAGGTTCCTACATTGCCCAGTGGCATCTCTCTGACTGTGCGCGGCTCACAGTCACAGAACAGCGGGGTCGCCAACATCCTGGCATCACGAGGCATCACGGTCAGTAGGAAACTTGTCAAAAAGGAATGTATCCACCACAGGGGTGATTCACTATGATGTAAAATTTTGAAAAATTAATATATCAATGATAATAGAGAATCTAATGTAAAGACAAATAAAAACTAAGAATGAACCATGTATTCAGCATTCAGATGAGTTGATACACTTAACGGATGAGTAGAGAGAAGAGGTAGACTGACAGATTTTAATAATAAAATATTGAGGCTGTAAACAATTTTTGCTCAGGGCCCCTGGGTCCGTACGTAGCAGTTTTTCTATGTCTCTTTCAACCATCCCTTATACTACTCGTTCAACGATACCTTAAATTGTTTACTCATCTAGATATTTTTATTTTTTTTTGTTTCATGATTTTGTGATCAAAGAATGTAGTTTTGAAAATATTTCAATTTTAGCGAATTTCCCTTATAGGGAATAAGCTATTACCGTAGTACTCATGGTAAGACCTGGACCCGGGACCGATTTTTTTTTTCGTTTTGAGGTCCCTAGAGGCCAAAAACACCATCTGTTCAAATTCATATATATATATATATATATTTATATCTAATATATAAAATTCTCGTGTCACAGTGTTTGTCTGCAAACTCCTCCGGAACGACTTCACCGATCGTTATGAAATTTGGTGTGTAAATTCTGTAGGTATGCGAATAGGAAGTAAACTATTTCCCGTTTCGAAATTCTTAAAAGGGCTCCGCCCCAGTGGCTCTGGAGTTTCCCATGTTAACCTTATGAGAAATGGAATTAATGAATCTTAACAGCTGTTTCAATTAAATAGCATTAAAGTTACAAGGATTACCAACAGGGTGCAGCACTATTATTTCTTTTACATTTATGACAACAGCTAATTTGCAACCAAAAGGTGAGTGAGCGTAGCGAACGAACTTCAACCTGGAGGCGAGTGAGCGTAGCGAACGAGCTAACCTGAAGGCAAGTGAGCGCAGCGAACGAGCTCCAACCTAAAGGTGAGTGAGCGTAGCGAACGAGCTCCAACCCAAAGGTGAGTGAGCGTAGCGAACGAACTTCAACCAGGACATGATTGAGCGATGCGAACGAGATCATCTTGAAAATTAAACGTAACGGTACTTTCTTTCCATCGGTCTGTCTTAGGGGAAACCTATAACTTAGGCGATACGAAGTTCGCTGGGTCAGCTAGTATATATATATATTTATATATATATATATATATTTATATATATATATATATATATTTATATATATATATATATATACTAGCAGAGTACCCGTCCTTCGTACGGGGTTGGAATATACGTATTAAATGCTTATTGCAGTTACACTCAAGCCTTGCGTTTGCAATAAGGGAGGACACAGTTTGATAAAATTTGCTTTTTTAAATTTACAGTATTCTATATCTACCATAGCCATAATGTTCTACCACTTCACCTAAACAATAGAGAAAAATAAATTATCAACCATTCGCAAAATATCCCAAATTATTCATGAAATGAAAAACATAAACATAACTGTAAACAATCCTACTTTGACAGTTCTCATTGTGAATCACAGTTTTTTGTTGCTGCTTAGTTCAAATTAGCTGTTTTCATAAATGCAAAACAATATAGTGCTGCACCCTGTTGGTAAATCTTATAACTTTTTAATGCTTTTCCATATCATAGAACCAACTTTTTTAGTTGAAACAGCTGACTAAATTCTTTAATTCCCTTTAAATATGAATACTCATAAGGTTAACATGGGGAATTACAGAGCCACTGGGGCGGAGCCCGAAAGGATTTTTGAGATAAGAATATGCCTATATGTTAATCGGGAATGTAAGCTATCATCATGCCAAATTTCAGCACAATCCTTCCAGTGGTTTATGCGTGATTGAACTTCAAACACACAAACAAACAAACAAACAAACACACAAACTTTCACATTTATAATATTAGTAAGATATATATATATATATATATATATGTGTCCGTTAGCGCGATAACTCGAGCAAAAATGATCCGATTTTGATTAAGTTTGGTACAAACGTGTAAACCTACGTTTATTCGAACAAGTTCGCGAACCAGCATGATCGGACCATGAGAACAGGGGTTTATGGGGGCTTTTATGGGGTAAAAATGGGTTTTTCCTATTTTTGACCCAAAAAACGTAAAATTTTGAAATTTCTTTCCAAACTATTTTGTAGAGCTTAAAAAAAACAAATAATTTAGTATATTGAAGCGTTATAATGCGCCTAATGGTTACGGAGAAAATTCCAAAAAATTGTTAATTTAAAATTCCCATGTTATTCTTATGGAGAATAAGTAAACCGTTGTAGTGTGCTTGTTTATTAACATATTTTGCCCAAATTTGGAAAATGTTTTTATTTCTTACTAACTATTAACATTTTACATAAAAACACTTTTACCCTCCCTGTTGCAGCAAACCTAAGTATGTGTTAAACTGATTCTATTTAAATAGGGAATAAATGTGATATTTTTAAGGAGACATTTTAGTCTAAATCCAATCAGGCAAATGGAAATTCGCTTAGTCTGCAGGTTTGCTGCGGCGGGGGTATTTAGATTCCTAGGTGTTCTTCTATCGCATTAAATTTCTAAGTTTTTTTAGTTACTTCTTACTTGTCAACCATTCAAAGATTCTAACATTTTAACTGGATATTTTCTCTGGAGGATTTTATTAAGACTAGGTTGTACAAATTATTTTTTATTTCATTGAGGGAAAGTATAAATTGTGTTTGTTCAGGTGACTCCGGCAGCCAATAAGACTCCTCCCCCTTTGCCTGCATCTAACAGAGCGAGTGTAACCGCTCAGCCTGTCACTACACTAAACCTCAGCTCAGCGGTTTCTATAGTTCCTGCCAGCCAGTCCTCTAGAGTGAGCACATGCCTTATTAATAATAGCTTAAAATTATCATTTTCTTCTTAATGTAATTCTCCGCTAAAGACTAATTTTAGAATATAGTGATCAACTCCAGGGTCCAGGGGTCATGTGGACATTATCACCATCTCCGACGATCGTGGAAAAACACTAATAATCTCCTGTGGTAGTGTAGCCACCATCATTGACTCCGGAGTTCATGGAAATGTCATTGTTGTCTTGCACGATTGAGGTGAAATTCTGATCATGATCCGCAGCCGTGTAGAAATCATCATCGACTCCTGCTGTCATGGGAATGTCATTGTGGGAAGTGATTAAGGTCTAATAATCTCATGCGGTAGTGTAGCCACCATCATTCACGTCAAAATCACAGCAAAATCATGAACATCTCCCGCGATCGTGTAGAAATTATCACCATCTTCCGCAATTGAGACAAAATTCTGATTAGCCTATCTCCAGTGGGCTTGACTGAAAAAAATAAAGCTGGCCCAAAATAAAATTAGTAAATAAAATAAATTTAGGCTTGTTAAAAAAAGTTTCCTTTTTTATTTTGTTAGAACTTTAGTTATAAAATGTATCAGAAAGGAATAAACATAAATTGGCTGATTAGAATTTTCTTATTGCTGCATTAAATATTTCTTTGGTTAAAAAAGAGAAAATACCCCATTTTCTCAAAATACTTTATGTTAGGACATAAAGACCTAAAGGGTTAAAGGGTTGGTGTAATATCTATCTATTCAGAAAATTTGGTAAAACAATAAAAGAAAAATGTATCGGTATCGAGAATCAATATTTCAGGTATCTGTATCGAGAATCGATAAATTTTGGTATTGTCACATCACAAACCAAAACAATAAAAAAAAGGATTTATGATCTGTTTTGAGATTTTTTTTGGTAAAGGAATTATACAAAGCTATACAATTATCAAAGGCCAATCTATGTAGTATGTACGACTCCATTAAACTATATATACTTAAAATGTTCATGAATTAAGACTCTAAGTATATTACCATCCATGTTTTCTGCTACTATCTAAAGTCTATTAGAATAAATAACTGTAGGGAATTAAATTATAAGATGTGGTAAATGGCTATAATTTAATAATTATGGACAAAATGTGTTTCAGGGGCAATTTGCGGTACCTACTGACCGTAACAGGGGTAGACAAGTTACCTCCACTGTAAAACCTTTTACCGTAGACTTGACACAAGACTCGGACAGACCTTCATTTCGACGACGGCCGCAGCGCTTCACATGTCAGTTCTGTGACAAAGTGTTTACAACACAAGAGACTCTCAACACCCATCTGGCAACCCATCGCAGTCCTGGCAAACTTCCTTACAAGTAAGATGAGATGACTACACATAGTTGACTTCTTTTCTATATTAAATTTTTATATTATATTCTAGCGCTCTGAAATGTCACTGTCTAGTCAGGAGCTTCAATCATAATTGTATTATTAAGATAGGTGGCTCACTCGGTAGTACAACAGACTAAAAATCCCTGGCAGTGATGTTGTGGGTTTGCGACCCAGTGCCTGCCACTAAATTTGAAGATAACAGTTCATTCTTGCACTGTAAACAGCTTTACCTTTGATTGGCTGGATATGTTCCATCATTGACTATACAGAGTGTAAATAAAGTCCCGCACGGGCTTGATATGCTCTGAACGATAACAGATAAATCAATAAGATTTTATACATCAACATGATACCCAAAAATCAATTTTTTTTAGGAACTATCAGTTTTCCGTTATGTCATGGGGACATCCCGCAAGGAGTCAGAAGGAAATCTTAAATAGAATCATAGGTTGATATGTATAAGATGTATACAAGTATGTACAGTACAGAATACAATGTCGCAAATTCGAACTCGAACGGACAACCGAATCAAAAATGACAGCTGTTCAAAGATTCATTGAATTTGCTATGCTATTATACGCTACTTTGTCAGGGGGGCAGCCGCTAGGAATCGGAAAAAATTTTAAACTTAGGCATAGGTCAATACGCACAACAAACTAAAGGTCTTTATTAGTAGATTACAATGCCGCAAATTCAAGCTTAAAAGAACAACTGAGTAAAAAATGGCAGCTGTTCAAAGATTCAAAATGGCAGATTCAAGAAATCTTGGAACGGCTGCCATTTTTGGCTCGGTTGTCCATTTGGGTTCAAATTTGCAGAATTGTATTCTGCTAGTAAAGGCCTTTAATTCTATGTACATATCAACTTATGCTTCTATGATCTCCTTCTGACTCCTTGAGGGATGGCCCATGCATGATATGATAGAAAACCTATGATAGTTCCTTGATTTCCTTGGTGTCATGCTGATTTACCAAATCTTATTGATTTATCTGTTATCTTTTAGAACATATTAAACCTGTGCGAGACTTTATTTATACCCTGTATAAAAAGAACTAGACATTCCATTCCCATAACAAAGTTGTGGCCAGGTTTAGTATAAAAATCAACTTTTTGAATTGGGTTACCGACTGTGTGTGCTGATGTAAATTTTTTTTGCAAATATAAATAAAGAAAACCCAGCAGATTATTTAACTTAAAGTATGTAATAATATACCAATAATCTTGATTGAAAACGTTGGGGATTATTATTTTTGTTTGGTTGGTTTTACTGTAATGCAATTTAACTTTTATTAGGCTACTTTGTTATCATGAAACTGATATTTAAGCTGTGACTATTAGTTATTTTAAGTTTTCATAGAAAATTGTTGGCTGTGTTTACCTAAACTCATAACTAGAATAGTACCAAGGGTTTTTACAGTAATTTGTTTACACCTTTAAAATAGCTTTTTTTTAGATAATGTTTTTGTAGTAAATGCAATGATAGCTTACAAAGAACCCAATAACCTCCATTTAAATAACTTTAAAAAAAATCATATTGATGGTAAACATCAACTTATATTTCCCCATTAATAATTTTCCCTATTTTTTAATAGGAAACATTAAACAATCATCGCAAATTTGGAGTGAACCTGAGATACCCAAACTGTATATACAAAGATTTGTACAAGTATCAGCCTGAGGTGATAATCTTGACGATGCCTGGTATGTTTCAGATGTAACCTGTGTAATGCGCAGTATCCGACTCAGCAGGCGATGTTGCAACACAAACAAAACTACCACAAGGAAGCGCAAGGCTCGGAGATGGCCCTGCCTGTGGTGGATATGAAGAACCCTGCATCAATAAACAAACTTACATCTCTCGGCATCCGTCACTGTCTGGTGCTGTCCCAGCTGACTAACTCGTCAGGTGGAGTGTTTGGACTGCCGATCGTAGCAATCGACAATGCTAAAAACCCAGCAGTGTGCAATCTTGGGGCTCTGGGAGCGTCCAACGTACTGTCACTGGGACCTGCCAAAGCTCTTAGATAAAGTTTTAAAATGTTTGAATATTTTATTTCCAAAACGTTTTTTACTTTTTTACTTACAGATAGTTTATTGTTATTTTGTTTTCTCTAAAACCATTAATTTGAGGTCCCTCCCTCTTAAAGGGGAAGGTTGTGATAAATTAACAGGAATCTATGATATTTGTTACTTGAGAGATGTTTTTTATACACTGGAATTGTGTATATGACTACTATGTATTTAAATATAGACGTCTACCATGTAAATAGTAAAATAATTGTGTAAAAATATTCAACCTGTGTAATTTGCGTTGTTTGTATGTTGTCAGTGGATTTTTATTTTAGGTTTCATTTTTACAATAATAAATACATTATTATTACATTTTATGATCCAAACCTGAAGATAACTAGCCTTGAATGTTTTTATACAAAATTGAAAACTGCTTTTGAACTGTTTTAAAGTACAGGCATACTTTTGGATGCAATATTCAATAAATGAAATATATCTTTGGCCTTATGTTGGCACATGCTTTAATTTATTGATACATTCTTTGCAATTTCTGCTTTTATTTTAAAATTAAAAATCCAGTCATAGTTTTCATTAAATCCATCACAGTAAAGACTACTTAACACCTATTACAATTGGAATTTAAACAGTATTTTTATAACTTGACACAAAGAGAATAGCTGGGTCCTAAAAGTCAAAAGGCAAATCTTACAATGATTTTACATCTTTAAATAATACTGTAATGTATGCCTGAGGTTATAAGCGATCTTTTAAGGCCACAAAAAAAAAACTTTACACTGACAACAGATTGTTTCCCGAGTGAGTGGCAAATTCATTCTCATGTAAGGTCAAAAAAGACTGACTGTGAATATGTTAAATATCATACTTTGACTGTATTTTATGTATTTTTTGAAGTGTTAGCTATTCCAACACACTTGTGAGATAGTTTTAATAGTAACATTTGTTTTCTATTAAAAGTTTCATTATACATTACAGTATTTATAACTTTTAGTCATCTAAGCAGAGATCACTGTGGATTTATCTCAGAGTATCTAATAAATTGTGTTTTATTTTTCATTATGGTTCATTTTGTCTGATTATAACCTTTCAGCCATTTGTAACTATTTAACACACTGTGGTATAAACTAGCCAGTGTTGGGGAAGCTACTTTTAAAATGTAGCTAGCTACAACTACTGCTACATTTCCAAAAAAGTAGCTTAGCTACAGCTACAGCTACAGTTCCGAAAAAGTAGCTAGCTACAACTACAGCTACAATGAAATGTAGCTACAGCTACAATTTTAGCTACTTTTCCAAAGACGTTACTTTTTATTCCACGCACATTAGGTAAATGTAAAATTAATTATTGCAACAACATTTTTATTGAACAAACATTTAAACAAGAAATGTCAGTATTGTATCTAACATTACTTGGAAAACAAATTATTCCTAGATTTGATTTAATTTGTTGGCATTATAAACCTAACATTACAACAACAGCATCAAATAATTGGGTGTCCCATCATATTTAGTACTTATTTTTAAATATTGCATTATTTTTAAGCATCTTATATGTAAATTTCATTAAGTTCAAAGGACATACAACCAAACTATATTTTAAAAGCTCATTTTATTTCTTTAATATAGATTTATTTATAGATGTCTTATATCAACAATTAAGACCACTTAAACTGTAAAACGATTATTTAAAAATACCTTTTTGTGTTACAGAGCCTAGCCTATTGAAATTGGAGTTTATTACCTTTCTTTACTTTTAATGTTAAAAACGACATTGCTATAACTTTTAACCATAGTGATAAGTTACTTGTTCTCTATGAATAACACTTTTCAATGTCAAGAAATCGTCCTTTATTGTCATTATGCATAGGGCAAGTGCTTCAACCTAGTTGGTACAGAAAACAGTATTCAGCAACTTATCCTGAAATCGGCTTTTAATTTAAACATGTTGAAATTTGTAAAGTATAAATAACATGTAGGCCTACTTGGCTATGTAACAAGTTGGCTATAGTAGCTTTGTTCTTGCAAGGACTAAACAGATATATTCCTAATAATTGAACTTGGTATTCGTTTTAAGCCCTAGCATAGCCTAGGAATAGTCCAATACAAGAGCTGTTAGCAGGAGCAAACTATGCTATTTTTTAAATGTAAGTTTCATGTTATATGGAGATTTTTTCGTTACAATTATCATGTAGTCTAGGCATATCTTAAATCTCATCAGGTAATTTCCTCTTTGTTAATTTAGTAAACCTTAGAAAAATCTTTGTAATCTAACCAAGGAAGGGCTTGTGATGATGAACCACAATCAACAGCTGAAGCAAAGGTTGATAGACCAGCTTTCTCATTATTTTAAGGTTTAGTGTTGGTTTCCATTAAAACCCAAGTTGAAACACTATCGATATAACAAAGAAACTAAATTGATTACTAATTTCCCTGTCAATCACTTGCAAGCGTTCAATAGCTTGTATTGTCACTGGTACCGGTAACGTTTAAACGTCGTCTGCATGTAGCGATTTTATTTTATCTGACAGTAATCATGGAGTAGTAAATTAAGGAAATGAGAGCTAAAAATGTGGATAACACTCATTTAATGGTCTCCATGTCCACACAACGTTGTAATAGGGAATGAAACGGCTGCAACCAGCTGTATGAAGCCAAGAAAGTAGGCCTAATTGTTTTGAAAATCTCAGTCTCAGTTTGAAAGATGTTGTTTCACGTAAGGTTGAGGTTATGGTAAAAATCACTATCTCAAACAATGTAAATGTAGCGAGAAAAGTAGCTAAAATTCCGCTACAACTACTTTAAAAATGTAGCTAGCTACAGCTAAAGCTACAAAATTTTAAAAGTAGCGACGCTACAGCTAACGCTACAAAAAAAGTAGCGCGCTACTGTAGCGTCGCTACTTGTAGCGCGCTACTTCCCAACACTGGTTGGGAGTTATGGTAGCACCAAGCGCTGCCGGAGTCTTCACTGTCAGACTCACTCCCTCCTTCAGAACAGGTGGTGGTGGGGGGAGGGGCTGCTCTGTGTCCAAACTGTTGAACGTCTCCATCACTGCACTACTGTCTAGAGGTTCAGACGGTAGAGCACCATTCACGACTGAGCTGTTCAAAGCCGACGGAGCGAGTACCGTCAAACTGCCGACTGGACTGGGATTCAACGCAGGAGGAGGAGTCGGCTCTTTATTTTAGCTACAACTACAGCTACAATGAAATGTAGCTACAGCTACAATTTTAGCTACTTTTCCAAAGACGTTACTTTTTATTCCACGCACATTAGGTAAATGTAAAATTAATTATTGCAACAACATTTTTATTGAACAAACATTTAAACAAGAAATGTCAGTATTGTATCTAACATTACTTGGAAAACAAATTATTCCTAGATTTGATTTAATTTGTTGGCATTATAAACCTAACATTACAACAACAGCATCAAATAATTGGGTGTCCCATCATATTTAGTACTTATTTTTAAATATTGCATTATTTTTAAGCATCTTATATGTAAATTTCATTAAGTTCAAAGGACATACAACCAAACTATATTTTAAAAGCTCATTTTATTTCTTTAATATAGATTTATTTATAGATGTCTTATATCAACAATTAAGACCACTTAAACTGTAAAACGATTATTTAAAAATACCTTTTTGTGTTACAGAGCCTAGCCTATTGAAATTGGAGTTTATTACCTTTCTTTACTTTTAATGTTAAAAACGACATTGCTATAACTTTTAACCATAGTGATAAGTTACTTGTTCTCTATGAATAACACTTTTCAATGTCAAGAAATCGTCCTTTATTGTCATTATGCATAGGGCAAGTGCTTCAACCTAGTTGGTACAGAAAACAGTATTCAGCAACTTATCCTGAAATCGGCTTTTAATTTAAACATGTTGAAATTTGTAAAGTATAAATAACATGTAGGCCTACTTGGCTATGTAACAAGTTGGCTATAGTAGCTTTGTTCTTGCAAGGACTAAACAGATATATTCCTAATAATTGAACTTGGTATTCGTTTTAAGCCCTAGCATAGCCTAGGAATAGTCCAATACAAGAGCTGTTAGCAGGAGCAAACTATGCTATTTTTTAAATGTAAGTTTCATGTTATATGGAGATTTTTTCGTTACAATTATCATGTAGTCTAGGCATATCTTAAATCTCATCAGGTAATTTCCTCTTTGTTAATTTAGTAAACCTTAGAAAAATCTTTGTAATCTAACCAAGGAAGGGCTTGTGATGATGAACCACAATCAACAGCTGAAGCAAAGGTTGATAGACCAGCTTTCTCATTATTTTAAGGTTTAGTGTTGGTTTCCATTAAAACCCAAGTTGAAACACTATCGATATAACAAAGAAACTAAATTGATTACTAATTTCCCTGTCAATCACTTGCAAGCGTTCAATAGCTTGTATTGTCACTGGTACCGGTAACGTTTAAACGTCGTCTGCATGTAGCGATTTTATTTTATCTGACAGTAATCATGGAGTAGTAAATTAAGGAAATGAGAGCTAAAAATGTGGATAACACTCATTTAATGGTCTCCATGTCCACACAACGTTGTAATAGGGAATGAAACGGCTGCAACCAGCTGTATGAAGCCAAGAAAGTAGGCCTAATTGTTTTGAAAATCTCAGTCTCAGTTTGAAAGATGTTGTTTCACGTAAGGTTGAGGTTATGGTAAAAATCACTATCTCAAACAATGTAAATGTAGCGAGAAAAGTAGCTAAAATTCCGCTACAACTACTTTAAAAATGTAGCTAGCTACAGCTAAAGCTACAAAATTTTAAAAGTAGCGACGCTACAGCTAACGCTACAAAAAAAGTAGCGCGCTACTGTAGCGTCGCTACTTGTAGCGCGCTACTTCCCAACACTGAAACTAGCAGAGAGACAACCCAGACCCTCCTCTAGATTTTGCCTGTAACATGTGAAAAGGTCCTTGTCTGTTGTTTGGACAAAGGAACTCTGAATGTAAGGAATAAGTCGGTCCCCCAGTTTGACTTGGTAAAAAAGGTTGTCCGTATTTGACAGAAATTAGTAATTTACATCAGCAGTTCAGCACAGTCTGTCCGAAGACGATTTTGATTTTAAAAAACTGGTGACAAAAAACAATGGGATGGAATGTGTGAATGAACTGAACTTCACACATTTTGTATAGTTCGGCCGCTTAGAAAACGACCTGCGCGCTAATGCTAAACCAATGCTGGAGGAGGTCGCTTTCTAAGCGGCCGAACTATAGTCAGTCAAACTCTTTATCGATCAGTCAGTTTTTATGACGTATTCTGATGTATGACTGTAGATGTATGAGCATTCTGAGTTATTAATTTAAATTTGTGACTTACCAATAATTTAAATGGGGAATATTTACCATCAACCTCGGATCTATGCATTTTCTATTTTATTTACTCTGTATTACATTACTTTAACTCAAAACTATGAACCTCAAGTCTATGATACTGCAGTATACTATATATACAGAGTGACTGTAAAGTCTTCCTAATTTTAAGAGTGAAAATTTAAAAACGTACGTTTTCAGGAAAAGCACTTTGTAAATTTTTTTCCCCTTTTTTCAAAACTTTTATTATTTTTTTATTTTATTAACATTTGAAGTTTCATAAAATGTCCATGGTAACGCAATATCTTTGGTAGTTTCTTTTTAAAAGAGCATCTTCAGTGGAAAAACACAAAATCCTGTCACGACCATAACGGACGTTTAAATGAATATTAAAAATAGTTAATATTATTTTTATAGCTATGTTTTGCTATAAACTAATTTACTTTTATGACCATTATACAATGAAAAGGTCACTGAGCTTTTGGTATATTTGGTCTTTCTAGAAAAAAATAATAAAACTCAAAAATTGAAAAAAAGCCAATAAAATCTAAAAGTTTGTATAACTCCGAAAAAACTTACCTGAGACCCGAAAAATCGTTATGTTTGTATAGAGGTGTGCTTCTTTTGTGTATAAAACATTAAAATGTGACGATATTTTAATTTTTTAATTTTTATGATAGAAATCATAAACGTGATGGTCAGGGACAAGCGGTACGGTCGTG